AGCGCGGTAGCTAGAATTAAGCGAGCGGAGGTGAGCAATCAAGTCAGCAGAGCGCTCAAACGAGGCGAGGTCAGGGAACAGGAACGGTAGGAAGAGTCGGCCAAGAGAGACAGTGGTGGGAGTAGCGTAGCGGGCCTTAAACGCCACACCCCGAATTACACAACGAAGTCAACGAAAAAAAAGTAGGTTCGGAAAACCCTAGAAGGAGGTTCGGTGGGAAAATCTAGAACCAATCGCGTCAAAAACCCACTCAAAACCTTCGATCAATCACGTGAACGTGGTGACAGTTTTGGGGCCGACACGGTAATTCTAGATGTGTCCTTTAATCGCAGTCAGGAACTCACTAGCAGTGCGATTCTGAGTTAAGTGGGCCTCCTCAGACTCAGGGAGGAGGCTGCTAAGAGCGATGCAGGCCGCAGCGTCACCCGACTTCCACGCCGTCAGGTCAGCACACTAGCAGGTGAAGCGGTCCCTGGCTACGTCGTCAGGGGCGGTGCCTAAAGGCGTAGGGTCGTCGGGCGCAGGAAGGTCACCAGTTGCGTGCGCCCAAAGGTACTCGCTCGCCTGAACCTGACTCTCTAAAAGGCGACGCGCACGTAAGAGCCAGACCGGAAACTCGAGCGGTCTACCGTCAGCGTCAAAGCGAAGAACCCTAGAGGTCGCCATAGTGTAAGTAGAAGTGACAAGTCCGGCGGCGGGTGGCACTGGTAGGGACGGTGGGCGGCTAGGGCAAGTCCGTGACGGGCGCAAAACGCGGGCGCAACAGGGCTAGGGGCGGTTCCGCGGCGGACTGAACGAGTAGGCGCAGCGGTGCGAAGGAAGGGCCTAACGAGCGGGCCCGCAGCAGACTAATCGAGGAGGCGCGGCGGCTGGTTGAACTGGCAGGCGCGGCGGCTGTAAAGGAGGGCCCATGGCGGCTGTAAGGGAGGACGTGCAGCGTGCCTAACAAGCAGGCGCGGCGGCGGGCGGTACGGGCAGGCGCGGCGGCTGTAAGGGAGGGCCCGCGGCGGGTCTAACGAGCAGGCGCGGCGGAGGCTAGGGCGGGGCCCGCGACGGGCGCGAAAGGCAGGCGCTGCTGGCGTCTAAGGCGGACCCGCGTCGGGCTGAACGGCAGGCGCAACGAGAGGCTAGGGCAAGGCTCGCGACGGGCGCGAAAGGTAGGCGCTTCGGGCGGCTAGGGCGGGCCCGCGGCGGGCTGAACGGCAGGCGCGGCGAGAGGCTAGGGCGGGGCTCGCGACGGGCGCGAAAGGCAGGGCCCTCGACGGGCCTAACGAACAGGCGCGGCGGCAGCCTAACAGGCAGGCGCGGCGGCGGCCTAACGGGCAGACGTGCCGGCGCGAAGACAGGGCCCGCGGTGGGCGTAACGGGCAGACGCGGCGGCGCGAAGGCAGGGCCCTCGACGGGCCTAACGGGCAGGCGCGGCGGCAGCCTAACGGGCAGGCACGGCGGCGACCTAACGGGCACGCGAGACGGGCGCGAACGGGCGGGCGCAGGGGGAACGCACGCGACGGAACGGGCTCGGGACGGGACGGGTCACGGAACGGGAGAGTGTCGACAGCTACGGCGGGGCTACGCGACAGAACGGGTGAGGCGCGTTAGGCTCGGGCGGGAGGAACGGGATCCTACAGGATCCTAACCTGGGTCATATCATGTCAAGAATGAAAGTGTTGTGTTATTGATGAGGGTTGGGGTACATATAACAAACCCTAATATTTGTACCCCCTTAGACAAACCTCACTACAGGCTACAACATTTGACACGCCCCTCCCCCACCAATGTTTTTGCTCAGCCAGTAGAAGTGAAACCAGTGAACAACCTGCTCTTTTCGTGCCTTCCCCTCCATCCTCTCTAGTGCCTTGTATTTTTGCCCTGAATCATCCAGATGAATTTCTGCTGGTGCCTTGAAATTTCAGGATGGCCAAGGAATTTTGCCCTGAAAAATCAGGGCATTTCGGAGATTTTCCAAAAGTTACCCTGAGGGCTCAGGGTGCCCTAAATCATAGCACAGGCCCTGACGCTGTCTGCCCGACGGTCCAGATGCTTTCGTAACCGTGCGATCCTTCGCGTCACTTCCGCCCTTTCGTCTTCAAGCTCGGTAGTGTGTGCTTCTTCGCTTGCTACGCTGAGGAGTGCAAAGTAACGTTTCAATAATTACTATTCGTAATGGATAAAGTATGGAAAGAGCTCCAATAAACTTCATTTCTACTAAATTTTTTGTATTATTAGTATGTAAGGTTATAATTAAATGTGCTCGAACAAATATGATATGCTTCCGTTGTAAAACTTCTTCATGCAACTAATTAGGCGACCATATAAGGATGTCGATTTAATACATTAAAATAACATCTCAGCACGCTATTAGGTGCCTAAATATGGTACGAAGTAAATATTGTTCAAAGTGTAAAAGTTAGCATCAGATCTATCAGGGTGTAATACATCAATCACGCAAACGTGTTGTCCTCATCAGGCCACGACACGTCTATCTCAGCATGAGTTGTAATTCAGATGAGGTGGTGCTCTGGTCGGCGAGTTCTCGAACGATCAAGCCACATGAACATCGAGAAAATACTAGACGTGTCCATTGACAAGTTGTTATGCTCTGTTAAATATTGTCGAGCGGTTTTGCTGCGTTCCGTTCGTAACTCTGTCTGGTCTGTACTTTCGTGCGTGTCTATTGTGTATTCACCCATTGAGCTAAAATGCTACCTATAGCATATACGAAGCGCGCAAGTAAAAAAAATCAGCTTAAACATTTGTGCTCTGAAAGTATGAATGTGAAAACCTGTTTATAATTTAAATTATATACTTTCTGACTTGCGGTAATTTTACTAATCATGCATATAAGTGATATTTGCATTTTTAGACAGTTGTATATTCTTTTTTGCAGATCATTAATAGTCTCCAAATACCTTTTTTGTATTTACCGTAATGTTTAATCTATATGTAACAAATAAGACAGTTTATTGTTGATATTATTAATAGTTATTTTCCAAACAAATATAATAAATTATATAACAGTTTTTACCTTGTTAATATTATTAGTAGTTATTTTACTAAAAAATAATATACTAAAGCTAGATAACAGTTTTTGTACCTTATTTTCCAAAATAAATATACTAATTTTATGCAGATTTTGAAAGAAAAATATTGAAATATTACCTTACATTTATTTGAATATTACCTTCAACATGTTCAAATATTTTTGCAAAGGTTAAGAATATGTTTTAAATTTCGAATGAGCAAATATGCTGGTATTGGTTCTAGATAATAATAACTATCATTAACAGTAAATCGTGTTTTTTGTATAGCATTCTTTGCGTTTTTTTGCATCTGTGAGCAGTTATTTGAGGCTGTTGGTGGATTGCGAGGAGAAGTTTCTTCTGTAGCACACCTGCCCCTTCTAAGGCAATAACCTCAGCAACTCGTGGCTGTCGAGTTTGAGCCATCACGGGTCGCGGAAACCTGTTTCATTATCCTTTGTAGGATCTCAGACAATGAGCACCTATGCAATTTCGCCCGTTCCTACACAATCCAGCCTAAGCGCTTCCAACGGAACGAATTTCATAAACTGCGACGCGAACTCGTAGGTGACAGAACCCTGTTTGTGCCGAGCACGCCAGCAGAGGACATCGAGAACGTTTACGCCCGCATGCGCTGCTGCAAAGTGGACTTAATCACGCCTGCGGCTGGACGTTTTCTGGCTGGTGGTAACGCTGCGTGACGCGGCCTCCACGCAACAGCAGACACTTTTCAAATAATTTGAAAGGTGTACGCCACGCTGCCTCGCGTATTATCGACGCCGTGTCGTAGTAGTTACTATGGCCATCGCCACGCGCTCCACCGTGCTACTCTTCGATTGGAGGAGAAATCCCAATGTCACGCTCTCGCCGTCTGCCAGTGCTGGTGCTAGGAGTAGCACTAAGAGTCGCACAACCACCAGCAGACTAGGCGGCAATGTGGTGTCAACAACTCCCAGTCGCCGCCGCGTGGAACCACCTCCGCCGCAGCCGCCACCGACGCCGCGGCTGCTACTGCTGGGTTCTCAATCTCCCACTGTGCGTATCGCGTAAATGTTTCCTTGCCGACTGTCGCACTCCTTGCGTCGTGACTGTCGTTCGTCCATCATGGGCTTTCCAACAAAAGGACGTTTTTCCATGCTTGCTGTGATCCTCTTTCATCATGCGGTATGATGTCTATCATAACATTTTCCACGGTTTTGTATAAACGCATCAATATAAGCAGCGTTGCGCTAAAGCTGTAATCTTCTTCCGCCCTGCCACGCGGCGTCTTTCCCCCCCGTGCTTCCCGCTGCAGAATTTTCGCGTTCGCGAGGTTAGGGGGAGCCGACCCACGCTCACTGTGATTTGCGGCTGGAGCTCGCTCGGCATCGATCGCGGGTGTGTCCGCTCTCACCGTGCAGGGCAATTCGGTGCTTCTACGCGCCTAATTCTGGCTTCAGGAGCGCCTCGAAATGCAGCTGGAGCTGCTGGGGCGACTCGGGCTGCTGGGGCAGTTGGAGCGGCGGGCACGCCTGATCATATTGATGGTCGAGTCGACTCCCTTGGTGAATCCAAGAGAAGCGGTGACGCCTTGTCGGTTGAGGATCCTACTAGGAGCCTTACAAGTACTGCTGATAGTACCACTGCTAGCAGTGGTGCGAGTATTCTGGTGCAGGGGTTGGAAGGGCGGTCGTGGGCGGAGAAGGCGCAGCATGCGCGCAAGCTGCTGGCGGGGCTGCTGGCGCTCTCCCGCCCGCACAACTTCCTGCCCTCCGTGCTGCTCGTGCTCCTCGGCGCGTTCCTCGGCGCCTCATCCGCGGGCGGCGGCACCGCGGCCATGACTGCTGCCACTGCCAACATCAGCGCTACAGCTGCTGCTGCTGCTAAAACCGCTGCTGATACAGCCGCCACCGCAGCAACTGCCACCGCTGCAGCGAGCCTCCCTGCCCTTCCCGTGTGGCTGTCCCCGCGGGTGCTGCTGGTGGCGGCGCTATCCGGCAGCATCGCGCTGGCGTCAATGGTGGTCAACGACGTGTTTGACTGGCAGATCGGGTCTGACCGAGTCAACTCGCCCGCCAAGCCCCTCGTGTCTGGCGCCGTGCACCCATATGATGTACGTGCAAGAGAGGCGAGGGATGCGGAGGAAAGAGAGTACTACTCTTGTTCCCCGATGTCTCCCACTATCCACCCCTTCCGAGTCGCAGCTAGCAGCAGGCTGCCTGTACGCCCGCATAGTCCGTGCAGCATCAAGTTACAGACGAGAGTACTACTCTTTGTTTCCAGCTCTGCACACCCCATCATAACAGGATCTACAGGTCCCTGCTCATTTTCCCTACCACCTCTCTTCTAATCCACCCTTTCTCGTTCCTGTTTTCTTTTGGTTCATCCCAGGCGGAGCTAGCAGCAGGCTGCCTCTACTCCCTCATAGTCCTCGCAGCCTGTCAGCTGGAGCCCTTGCCTCTCCGCATGCTGGTGGCGGGGGCGGCAGTCGGCACGTATCTCTACACCCCGTTCCTCAAGAGAATCACTCTGGTTAAGAACGTCTCAGTCGCTGCAATCATTGCGTCGTCGTTGCTTGCTGGCGCTCTTGCTGCTGGAGGTATGCTGTCCTTTCCAACCTCGCGCCCTTCTCTCTCTCCACCTCTCTCACAGCATTCGATTTGTGGGAATCCGCCTGGTGGTAGCAGTGCATGCCGCTGGTCCCTATGGCTTGGTTCAGTGTGTCATCTGGCTAAATGGTTCTTTTCCTGTGTCAGTAGCCGTTGCCGCCTCCGCCACCCTCTCCACAGTCACTCCTTCACCCTCCCCTTTCACCCATTCCTTTCTCAACCCTTCCCTTCACCCTGTCCCTTCGGCCTGTGTTCCTTACATCCCATTCTACCTTACCTGACTTCCCTTGATTTCCTACCTTGCACCATCCCCTCTCCAACCCCCAGCCTCTTTCTCCGCCCTCTACCGTGCGTCAGGCGCCTTTCTCTTCCTCTTCCACGCGCTGCTGTATCGAGAGGTGCTTATGGACGTCGCTGACGTCACTGGTGACGCCAGCGCAGGCGTGCCGACGCTTGCGGTGCGGCTGGGGAAGCAGAGGGCGGTGATGGTGGCGTGCGGCATGCTGGTTCTGGCGCATGCTGCAGGGGTGAGTGCTGGGGTTTGCTGCAATGTGCTGTGTTGAAATGTGGTGTGTTGTGATGTTATGCTAAGTTGGAATATACGCTTAACACCTTAAGCGTACAGCGTATGTACGCTAGCGTACATACGCTATCCGCTATACGCTAGCAAATACGCTATACGCTCTTAGATTTTTTTTAGGGCTGCCCGAAAAAAGAATCGCAAAAAAGATGCGGATTTCCTAGGTGAGCATTTCGCCGTAGTCGAAATTCAAGTCCGCAGTGTAGGCAAACGGGGATCTGACTTCGAAGTCGTCAGGCAAATGTTGGATTTCGGATCCCATCTAGGCATTGAAATCCATCCCTTCTACCGCATTGAACCCCACTCTATCTACAAACTCCAACCTGTCAAAATTTCCCAAACAACAAATCTCACGGTACTTACCAGCCAGCCCTGTTGGCTAGCCCTAACTCGTCATTTCGTTCCCGCTTTCACCAGAGTTCACGCTTCTTCGCTTTCTTGCTATTATGGTTACGCCACCTCCAATTGCACTCGTCATTCGGATTCAGGATTATGCAAGGGCAAGCCTTAGTGAGAATAGGGAGTACTTTTATTTCACCCTGCCCGGAACGTTTTTTCTCTGCCCGAAAAAGCGTTTCTCCAAACCGAACCCCTAAGCGGATAGCGTGTATATGCTAGCGTATATACGATACGCGAATATACGCTGTACGCGTATATTCCAACTTAGATGTTATGCAGTATCATGGCATGGCATGTGTTCTGATCTGACTGATACAACTTGTGCAAAACGAGTATGTGATGTGACTTGATATGCCATGACGTGTGAAACAGTACGTGCTGTTGCTACATGGTCAGCAATATATCATGGAGGAAAGCTTGTCAGCGACAGTTGTGCTTCAACTCTTATACCAACCCATCCACCCAGCACCAGGCAGTTCCAAATAAGTTTTCCAATTTCAACACCTGCCTCTGCTTCCTCCAACCCATTCCACTTCAGGCTTTCCTCGCGAGGCGTTCTCCTGCCCTTGTTCTACTCGCATCTATCTGCCTCCTCCCTCTCTACGCACACACTATCCCCCTACTGTCGCTCCACAGCCACACGCGCGACTCACTACTTTCTCCCCTGGCTCATGGCGAGCCACACGCACCAACCTCTCCGTCTTCGTCGACGTACTTACGCAATGACATCCAAGACCGTCACAGCAAAGAGAATTCAATATTACTAACTGAAGTCGACCATTCATCAGGTTTCGAAGTCCGTGCGAGTGTGCTGGAGAGTGCGCAGGTGGGTGGGATGGAGGCAGTCTGAGAGGATGAAAGAGTCCGAAGACATTGAGCAGAAGAAGTTGAGCCGCTTGATTGACATGTCTATGGTTTTCATTGGTGCTGCCCTTCTGGCCTTCTCAGCTGCTACAGTTGGCTTTGGAACTATCCTTGCATGACATGATGATGGGAGCACATGAGCATGTACATATCTTTTTGTAGTGTACATATATTTATTTCATGCAGATGGTTCAAGGCAGCATAGGTGATTTTTGTTCAGATTGAAAGTGTGCTTCTTGTTGCCAGTATATAAGGAAACTTGAAACGTTAGGTCACATAAGGTAGTTGCCAATGCCATATTTTCCCATTTGTATTGGAATATTTTCCCATTTGTATTGGAAGATTTTCCCATTTGTATTTGTATTTGTATTTGTTATGTCTACATCCATATTGTCGTTTTAGCTTGACGCGATGCTCAATCGTGGTCAACAACATTAGGTATGATACGAGGGGCGTACTCACCTTCTTGACTCGGCAAGAAATGCAACATTCAGAAAACGGTTACAGCCAAGGGTTACAATTGTTTCAGCCAATTGATAGCCTGCACGAGTGATTTCTAAATTCGCAACCTTTCCGACATGCAATTGATTGACCCTAGCTTTCATGAATTGTTCCCGCCGAATACTTCCGCATCATCCTTCAGCGACTGATCGCGTTTCATGAAGTTCCATTTGTTCGACTCCCCACCGCATTCCCCGCTCCCTTAGCGACCTCGTTCTTGGCCACACTACCGCGTTCCACGACGACCCTCCTCGCCTCGCAGCGGCGCGGTAGCGTCGAGCTCGCACTTCAAGTAGCCAGCCCCCAGCAGCCATGGAGCCTCGTGAAGTGCCGCTTCTGTGCCATAACCCCCTGTTGTGCCATCTCGCCGTCGCTCTCTCTGCGATACAATCTCGCCGCGCCTCATTCTGCCCAACCATCATCGGCGAATCTGCTCCCATATCTCGGCAACCACTGCCATCCACGATCGCTACCGTCACCTGCGCTGCGCCTCTCCGCCGCGCCTCTCCGCTGCGCCGATCGGTTTTCCGCTCCGCTGGACACGATGGGCGGCTTTCCGGCGCTGCTCGCGCTGCTCGCGCTCGCCCTCATTCTCGGTCAGTCCACCCGCTGTGCCGCCCAGCGAGTCCTTTCTGCCTGTGAGCGTGCCCGTCGCCGGTGTGCTTTCGTCCGACGGAGTCCGTCCCTTGCCTCGTTGTGCCCACCGGCCCCAAGTCACATCGTCGCAGCCTGGCGCTCTCCGCGTCACTCGACCTGCTCGAGAGCGCCATTCGCGTTCGCGCGGGGCCGCTGAATCCGACTGGAGGGCGATTGAAGCGGGCCGACCAGTGCAGACCGCGCCAATCAACTCCCCTCCCTGCTCTGCCCCCCTCTCGTCCCTGCTCGCCCTCCCCTGCAGCCAATGACGTCATCCGCGGGGCGTCAGGCCAAGACGTGTCCGCTACGCCGCCGCCGGCGGTGGCGACGGCGATCGCGGTGGGCAGCACCTTCGCGTTCAACTTCACGGCGGCGCGCTGCACCAACCTGCCCACCACCGCCTCCTCCGCCACCGTGCAGTGGACGTCCGCCGCCGCCGCCACCGCCAATGTGCCCGCGTGCGAGAACGTCACCTTCCTGACCGGCCCTGATTGCACCGGGGTCGTCGCGTCTTCCGTCGCCAAGCCTTCAAGGTCAGCGTCGCGCCTGTACCATGGCGTGGGGTGGGTGGGGTGGAGAGGGGTACAGTGCGGCCTGTGCTATAACACCTCCGACGCCGTGATTCGACTCAAAACAAGGGTGCTGTTTTAGGCGCAGCGGAACGCCATAAATCGACTAACGAGTTCCCAGTGATAAATTGTCGCGATGTAATCTATAATGAAAATGAGACATCGTGACTAACTAGCCGTTCTTCTCTCGCGTGCTTCCTGTGCCTCCCCTGCCCTCCACAGCCCGACCACCTACACCAGCCGAGCCATTCTCCCCTATCCGTATCCACTGTCGGCTCTCTGCTTTATCGGTACGCTCCTCGTCACTCTCTCTCCAGTACTTGCCCAGTCAGTAGAGTGCCTCTGTCATTGCCGGTCAGTAGAGTGCCAGTCATTTCAATAGAGTGCCAGTCAATTCAAGCAGCGCTACAAGCGCTGCAGCAAGGGCATCGGCAACTGCAGAGGGTTGCAGTGCAGCATTGCCACGGAAGGTATGGCGGGGTCCCTCCCTCCGCCAGAGCAGCTTCACTCGCTACCTCGTGCCCCACCAGCGAGTCCTCCTCTCGCTCTCACACCGGATTCACCACTCCCTCACCTCCCCTTGCTGCTCTGCCCGCGCCCTCCCTGCCCTCCCTGCATCGCATCACGTGGCGTCATCTCATCCCGGGTGCATGGCATCAGCGGGAGACGCTGCGTGGTGGCCCACGGAGGTGGCGGCCAGGGTGGTGGTGGCGACGGCCGTGGCAGTGGGCGCCTACAAGGTCGCCTTCGACCCCTCCTCGCGCTGCGCCACCGTGCCCGCCGGCACGGCGCCCGCTGGCGTGAGCACGCCTGTGGGCGTGCAGTGGGGGAGCAGCAGCAGCTTGGCGGGGGGCGGGGCGAGTGCGCCGTGCAACGTGGTGTCGTTCTTCCCGGGCGCCAACTGCGACGGCGCCGTCATGCAGCACTTGTACTCCTTCTCCAGGTCCGTGCGCGTGCACATGCGAGGCCGTGCAGGATAGTGCATGTGGAGGTGGGAGATGCGCAGGAGGCAAGGCAGGGCACGGGTGGAGGACGGGGGGAGGGGAAAGAGAAGGGAAAGGGGAGGGGGGGGGGGGGGGGGGGGGGAGGGAGAGGATGGCATGGGTGGGACTGAACGGGGTGAAATTCGATGGGGATCAGAGAAGGTAGGGAACCGTGACGGGATGCGATGCGATGGTAATGAGTAGAGGATCACGGCTCAAAGTTGTGTTTTGCCTTGTGTTCTCTTCTTCCCCCAAGCAGCAGCAACCCCACGTCCATCACACCTTCAACATACAGCCCACTGACAACAGTTCGCTGCAAATTCTGTACGCCCCTTGCTGCCTTTCGCCCCTTGCTGCCTTTCGCCCCTTGCTGCCTTTCGCCCCTTGCTGCCTTTCGCCCCTTGCTGCCTTTCGCCCCTTGCTGCCTTTCACCCCTTGCTGCCTTTCACCCCTTGCTGCCTTTCGCCCCTTGCTGCCTTTCGCCCCTTGCTGCCTTCCGCCCCTTGCTGCCTTTCACCCCTTGCTGCCTTCCGCCCCTTGCTGCCTTTCACCCCTTGCTGCCTTCCGCCCCTTGCTGCCGTTCACGCCATGCTGTCTACCCCAGGCTGCCTTTTTCCATTGAACTACTAACCTTGTGTCTATCGCTGTCAGAGGGTCTGATTTGATCTTGTTTGTATGCTTGGGTGTGCAGCCTCCAACACGGCATGCAAGTACGCCACATGCCCCGCCAACTCGGTGTGTGCGGAGACAAACGACAACAGGGGAGCCACCTGCCGCTGCCAGGAGGGCTTTATTGGCGTCAACGGCACCTGCCAAGGTACAAGGCTGTGGATTTGCGCAGAATGTAGGGATGGTACTCACAGTGGGGCCAGTATCTTGCTCTTGTTGGGCAATGGACGCGAAACCTTTCAAGATATCAGTGCATTCTACTGATCGTTTTCCCTGTTCTTCTGGGTGAACCCCCTCCCACTGCAGACAAGTGCAATCTCGACTGCATGGCCAATTCCCGTTGTGTGAGGGACGCGTCTGGGGCCCCGGATTGTGTGTGCAACAAGGGATTTCAGTATTCTCCTGACAGCAATACCTGCGTTGGTGAGTTGCGTGTGGTGTGACAGCGACTTTTCAACACTGAGTTCAAACCCCAGTTTCCACAAACTGGTCCAACAAGGGACCTTGAGTCGACTCAAAGTGACTTTTGAGGTGAAAACAAACTGGACCAACAAGGCGTAATGTGCTTTTTTTGAACTCTTCTCGGCCCAGCTTAACGACCTGTCAAGAATGCGCTTTGTGCTTCTGTTGAGCGAATGAATGAATTTGTTCCCAATCGCACTATCCTTGCTTGTTACTGTGGCCCCTCTCTTCCATTGCAGACAAATGCGATTCGGTGAATTGTGGGCCCAACGGCAAGTGCATTAAGGATGCAGATGGAAATCCTACCTGTGCTTGCAACGCTGGCTTCCAGATGCCTCCCGACAACCTCACTTGCGTTGGTGAGTTGCACGCACTGGCACGTGGAGCGAGCAAGTGATTGATTGGTGGGCCTGGAGTGCATGCATGCATCTGCTCTGCAAGCACTGCATCACTGTGCCCTGGTTCATTCGGCCTACCACTCATTTCATGTGCTCTGGTTGGAACTTGCTCCAATGAGCGGAGTGGCGGCACTCCCTGCCAATGTATTCACTTCATTTCTCATGGAACGGAGGTGGTATGAATCATTGCTCATTTCCTCCTCCCACCACCTCCTTTGCATTCTTTAACCACCTTACCTCCGTCCTTCTTCCTAATCTACCACCTGTATTGCAGACAAGTGTGAGTTGGTGACATGCGCTGCCAACTCCCGCTGCAGCAAGGATGCAAGTGGGAACACAACTTGCGATTGCGTCACCGGCTTCGAGAGGCTTCCGGGCAACGACACTTGCGTTGGTTAGTTGCTGCACTTGCTTAGTCGTCCGTTTAAGTAGGACACAACATTGATGGACGTGGCATGTCACGCTGGCCTGCACCCAACAATTGGGTACAGCGAAATTGCGATAGATTGTGAAAGGCTTATTGGGAGTGAGGTCGAGTTACTGGTCGAATTTACTGATCAGGAAGATTCGACCTGCCTTTGGCTTCTGAAATCATCAGCATGATGCTCACGTTGCATACCTGAATCCTTCTTGTCTATGGACCTGCCTTTGGTTTATGGATGAGAAACCTCTATCATTCTTGTCTATATGTGTATCCTTTTTATTGCAGACAAGTGCGCTTCAGTGAATTGCCAGCCCAACAGCACGTGCAAGAAGGATGCAAACGGAATTCCAGCCTGCAGTTGCAACACCGGCTTCACGCTGTCTTCTGACAAGCTCACATGCATTGGTGAGCTCAGTTACTTGATTTGCTCCACTCAATCACTCGTCCGGGCTAGCGACCTAACAAAGGCTTAAGTGGTGGAAGTCGCATGTTATGATGGCATGCACTTACGAATAGGAGGTAGTGACATCGTGATTTACTGTTAGTAGTATGAAGAGGTTTTCAGATTCCTCTTACCTTACTTTTCTGAAATGGTGAGCATGATGCTCAGGTTGCATCACTTCCCAAATCCGTCTGTTATATTCCTCTATGGTTGTCAAACCCACATTCCCTTTTTCTATGTGTTCCGTCCTATCTGTATTCTTTTCAATGCAGACAACTGTGCTTCATTGAATTGTGGCCCTGGTGGCACGTGCATGAAGGATGCGAGCGGAAGTCCGTTCTGCAACTGCACCATCGGCTTCAAGCCGTCTTCAAACAACCTCACTTGCATTGGTGGGTTGGAAGAGTGCAAGAGGCTGTTTTGAGTTTGTAACCTGTTGTTGGGAGTTGCTTGCACTTGAGTTTGGAGTTACAATGCTCTCACCACTTCATTGTCTTATCCGCCCCTTAACCTTGTTGCAGCAGTTATGGATTGCATGCATAGGCAAAACAATTTCAGCAAATTGTATTGTTTTCTAAGATGAACTATCTTCCTTCTTGCCTTGGTTGGCTTTCTGCAGACAACTGTTCTGGGAGGAATTGCGGTTGGAACGGCAAGTGCGTGAAGAAGGAAAACGGAGATCCAACCTGCGCGTGCAACACGGGCTACCAGATGGATACTGACAGATTCTTATGCATCAGTGAGTTGAGAAGTTGTCCCTCTACTGGTGCAAATTCGTGAAACATATCTATATTGGCAGCTCTCTCCCGAGCTGTGCTGCACTCAGGCAGGCATATTACACCTGAATTTCTCTCTTCTTTCGAGCATCATCCTCCCCACCCCTCTCCCCCCCCCCCCCCCCCCCCACACCCTTCTGTGCATCGCATCAGCAACGCAGTGCTACGAGTTGGGCTGCGGACTAGATGGGGAATGCGTGTATGACATCAATGGGAGACTTTCGTGCAGATGGAGTAAGCTCAACACGCCCAACTCTTTAGCTCTTCCTTTTTCCACAAGCTCTATCCCAAACACACTCGTATAAATTTCCCCACTTGCCGTTCTCATCCCGCCATCTCTCTGCCCTGCCGTGTGTCTCCCGTGCTTGCTGTGTTGCTCAGACTCACCCTGTGGCAGCTGCCCCACTGGAGGCGTCTGCAAAACCATCCAGGTCACAAATCAGGTTACTGCTACTGTGCCATACTGCGAGTGTCGTTCCGGCTATGGCATGACCTCAACAGGCTGCATCTACGGTGAGACCTAGTAGCTCCCCTTCTACCCTTCTCTGCTGGTCACACGCTGCATCCTTTGACTCGGCAACTGAGAGCTGATGAGGTGGAGTGAAGCTGAGGGACAATGAAGCTTCCGTTTGCAGAAAAAACTATAAGGGTGTGTTTCAGAAGTGAAACAGTAGTGTAAGCGTTCAGCGGTCATCTGAGCTATGTGTCAAGTTCTTGCTTTCACCTTCCTTTCATATCCCGACTTCAAAGCATCATTGTCACAGGATCAGCTTCTCTAAATTCCTTGTATGTGTCCCCATGCTGCAAACAAGCACGTCCTCGATCCTGGATAGCATCATGACCCTTCTCTCACTACATAGCATCATGACCTTCTCTCACTCCATAGCATCTCTCCTATCCTTTTCCCACATCTCCCCTGCTGCTTGTGCCCATTCGCAGGTGCACCTGACCAAGTGATTCCCTACAGCATCACGCTCTTCAAGGATCGTACCGCCGCAGGCAACGCATCCAAGCCCTACACTTTCCGCTTGAAATACGGCTGCACTCAGTTTCCAGAGGGGCTGGCTGGAAATTTTAAGACTTGGTACGAAGTGGATTACATCAATAATGCTCGCGGTTGTCGCGTTTGGCGATATTACACGACGGATAACTGCACCTCGTCCCCTGCGTGGAGTGGAACCATTTACACTACAACGATGTTTGCAAATGCATATAAGTGAGTTGCCAGCTGCAAATATTTTTTCCATTCTGCATTATTATTTCAAAATTGTTTAATCTGAGTTGATTTATACTTCCATACGCTGTGCTCACCCTGTCACCCTGTGCTCAATGCTTTCTCTACTCTTCCATCCTTCCTCTGTGTGGCCTACCAGGGATAGTGCGACTCCCTTACCAATCCGCTCTTGGTGGTGCGGTAGCTGATTCTCTTTGCTGTCCGCTTTTGACGCCTAGGTTTGCTGGTCTACCTAAGTTAGCGAGAGCTGCGAAGGCCTGAGGGGCAAAAGTATCACCTATAATAGCGTATTCCTATCCTCGTATCAAGAGAACATCATACCGTCATCGCCCGGATGTTAGACATATATGTCTAATCTTGTACACTAGAAAAAATGCTTGGGTTATCTTGTATTTGAGGAGGTTTTGGGTGTGTTATAAGTCTTATAAATGGACAAAGAACCGTTTAGAAGATACCCCCTCGTTATACAATTGCCCCTAACGCTTACACTCGCTTAACTTGTACATACAAATAGGTGTCTTATAATGGGGCTAGCCTGTTTATAAGAGACACCCGGATAATAGACAACCCCTGTCTACGATTCAACACTGTCTACTATCCAGGCGATGACGGTATCAAGATTGTACCTTTTGCCTGGTAAAACTAGCGAAAGGTTTTGGGATTAGGGAAATTTCCAGTGGGAGGTTGATACTGTAAACCCCCGTATATAAGACCCTAGGGTCTTATGATAATCACCCCTAAAAAAGTAGGGGGGTATAATCACCACCTTAGCCGCCATGGTGACATCATCAGATACTGGGATGTCTGGTGCTCGACGCAAGCGCCGCAAGAAGGTCCAGAAGCCTCTTGTTCCTAGGCCGTCTCCCAGGCCCGTCATGCCTACGCCAAGTTCCTCTAGCAGCGAGGAGGCAGATAAGGAGCCCAGCGGGAGCCCACGCCGTCCGCTTCCGCAGGTGAAGGTTCCCGTGTTTCCTGTATCAAGCCGACCGCGGGGACAGAAGAAGCGGGTGCGCGACGCAGAGACGCCGGAGACAAGGCGCCGACGGACGGAGAAGAAGCGGAAAGCTTACACCGTCAAGGAGAAGCTTTACTGGCTCAAGATGCTTGACGCGCAGCCCCCTATGAGCGTCCGGAGTTTGGCCAGGCTTGCCAAAGTCCAGCCGAAGCAGATCCGCGACTGGCGCAGTTTAGAGGAGCTGCTCGACAAAGCGGCAGGGTGTCGCCAACGTCTCACTGGTGCGGGACGAAAGCCCAAGTACCCCGATATGGAGGTTGCGGTCTACCGCAAGTTCCTGTCGCACCGTGGGAGAGGCCTGCCGATTTTTGTGGGTCTGCTGCAGAGTTGGGCGGCGACCTACATGAAGCATCGCCACCCCCAGAAGAAGTGGTCTTCGTCCCACCGTTGGACAAAGAGGTTCCGCAGGCGGTGGTCCCTGGCACAGCGCGTGAAGACAAAGATCGGGCAGAAGCTCGCTGCAGGTACCTTGACCTCAGCCTACCCGATGTTTTCAGACGTAAAGTCGTACCGTATCCACCTCGCCTGACTCCCCCTTATCCCGTGCGATGCAGATTGCAAGCAGAGTGCGAGGCCTTCTGGGAATTCGTGCAGCAGATGCGTGTGCTCAACTCCTATCCCTTCAACCTGATCGTGAACGCGGATCAGACACCCCTGTTCCTTGAGATGCCTGCTGAGCGCACCCTCGAGATGAAAGGCGCTCTGACCGTGCACATGGGCACCGCGGGGTACGAGAAGCAGCGCGTCACGGTCATTCTGGCGGTGGCCGCGGGCGGATTGAAGCTCCCTCCGTATGTGGTCTTCAAGCGGAAGACCTTGCCGAAGATCTCCATACCCCGAGGTGAGTCGAGTCTTACCGGATGTTCTGCCGGGGTTTGGTTTAGGAATTTCACCGCTGATGTTTCTTTCTTGTTGTGCAGGGGTTGTCGTGGGAGCCCAGGATAAGGGCTGGATGGACGAGAACCTTGTCCAAGACTGGACACGAAGGTTCTCGTCCCCTTTCTGAAGCCGCACCGCAAAGAGGAAAGGCAGCGCAAGGATGCGCTCCTCATCCTCGACTCCTACCGAGGGCACACCACGGAAGCAGTCGGCCAGACAATGAAGCTATTCAAGTTTACGCGCGCGGTGATCTCTGGTGGTTGCACCTCGCTGCTGCAACCTCTGGACGTTTCGGTGATCCGCAGCTTCAAAGCCGGAGCTCGCCACCGCTACTCCACGTGGTTCCAGGATGAGGGGATTGATTCTTTCACCCCTGCAGGTGAGCATGTGAGGTGTACCCGTTTCACTGTGTGCCTTGACCATGTGGTGATTCAAGTATGCCCCTACCCGTGACATTTCCCGCAAGGAATTTGAAGAAACCTCCCCCAGAGAAGGTTCTCTGCTGGATTGCGGAGGCGTGGACCGACGTCCCTGAAGAATTGATCAAGAAAGCCTTCGTGACCTGCGGCATCTCCACCGCCGTCGACGGGAGCGAGGATGAGCTGATCCTCGCTCACCTCCGCGATAAGGCGGAGGTGGAGGTGCTGGAGGATGTGTGCGAGGAGGAGCTCGATGAGCTCGTCCCCAACCCTTTCTACCCTGACCCTGCCGCCCCTGCAAGCAAGAACAGCGATGCTGCCTCCTCTCCAGCTGAGGAGGAGGAGGAGGAGGGGGACGAGGACGAGGACGAGGACGAGGACGAGGAGGAGGAGGAGGAGGAGGAGGAGGAGGAGGAGGAGGAGGAGGAGGAGGAGGAGGAGGAGGAGGAGGAGGAAGAGGAGGATGAAGAGGACACGGAGGAGGAGGACGAGGAGGAGGATGAGGAGGAGGGTGATGAGGGTGAGGAGGAAGGCGGTGTGGAGGAGCGGGATGGGAGGATGATGGCGATGACTGGTGGGCAGAAGGGCGATATGACGGGGAGGAGGTGGAGATTTGGGTTTCTGGACAGGATTAGGATGGTAATGTGCCTGTGCATGTGCATTCATGGGTATGATTTCTCTAACTGAACATGGAATATGACCATTTTTTATTGCATTTGCTGAAAAACCGCACTTCTCTAGGATGTGGGGGGGTCTTATAATGTTAAGAGCCATTTAGGGGGGTATAACTCCGATGTACTCGAATAGAGTACCCCCCTCCGTATTATAGACCCGGAGGTCTACAACTGGAGGGGGTCCTATATACAGGGGTTTACGGTATGAGGTTCTCTTGATACGAGGATAGGAATACACTCTAATAGTGACGCATTAACCTCATATAGAGGATGATTACCGCACTTACTGGGCAGCGCACTTGGGATGGAACCAGGGCCTCAGCTTGGCTTTGGGCTAGTCTGAAAAATTCAGAGTAGGTACAAAGATTTAAGCTGAAAATCAGAGGAACCTGCTATATTATGCCATTCTACACTACAGAGCTCATAGTTTTTCTTGTACTTTTCCCGAAAAATTGGTGAAAAGTCAGCCCTGGCTCTAAAAAGAGTCTTAAATTTCAGCCTTTTTTACCCAAATCACCCTTTTTTCGCTGAAATCTGAGGCCCTGGATGGAACCAAGGAATGTACCCCAAGGCTAGATACAACAATTCGAATCACTTTTATGCAATTCTGATATTTGTTATGGCCTCAGATGTCAGAGAAAAAAAGGCTGATTTAGGCTCTGGAGCAGGGCTTAGTTTTGGATTTTGCCTACTAATTAACAGTGTAAACATTTTCAAAACCCTTCTGGGCAGTGTGCCCTTTTCAGAAACACTGATGGAGCAGTGTAACTTGAAGTTTTGAAAATTTTACCTAAAGGCATCAGTATAGGTATATTTTTAACCCTGATTGTACTCTAGGCAGCTTGTAAGGAAAATCTCTTTTTCCTTACTTCGCATCCCTGCTCAACGCGTGATGGAAAGCGAGCAAATCTGGAGAGCGTATAAGAGATTAAGTCCGCCGACTTCGACGGAACATTGCGTGCAGCTCACGTAACCTTAAACTATGAGCAGGTACGCGTTGGAAAGGTCTTAATCTCTACTTTCCAGAATGGTAACGCACGCTTTCAACCAAGATCTAGGCCGATCGCTATCGCGATCTAAGTGCGACGGTGTATTCTGGCGGAATTAATAGGCAGCCATGGATTAGATCAAGAGACTAGCTTTAGCAAGAGTTCAGATCTGAAAAGTGACGAGTTGTTCAAACCCTACCAACCCAACCCTCGCCCTACAACAATCCCCAACAACCCAAAGTGCTAAACTAGCAACACCAAAGGTGTTGTAGTGAATAGCAAAGGTTTGTTGGTGCTTGTTGGGTGCGAGATCAATTCCAGCCCGCAACAAGTCCAACCACCACATTTTGCCCAAACCCTTAGCCCACAACCAGCTAGAGCAAAATACCACAACCACCTACACAATCAACACTCCCCCTTGCTCGTGCTGGAGGTGGCTGAACACCACTGGGCAAAATCCTTCACTTCACTCCCCCTTGCCCAGGGAGGGGCGCCATCCACAGCATGAGGTCGTCAAGGCAGAGAAGCACCAGTCCTCCCACATCCTCCTCAGGCACCATGCTGACATGGGGCTGCATCCCCATCAAGGACATGCACACACCATGCCGCTCAAAAGGAAGGGGTTTGGTGAGTATGTCTGCTGCCTGACGGTCGGTTGGGCACCACCGGAGGATCACCTCGCCACTAGCCACCATTTCCCTGATGAAATGCCACCGAACCTGCATGTGCTTGGTGCGGCCATGCAAGCATGCATTCTGTGCAAGGGCAATGGCAGACTGGTTGTCCACAAACACAGGCACACCACCAGCAAACCCATGCCCAAACTCCCCAAACAAACGCTTCAGCCACACACCCTCCTGAATGCACTGACACAGACTGATGTACTCACTCTCAGTGGTAGACAATGCAACCACCGGCTGCCTCTTGCTCTGCCAAGAGATGGCTGCACCATTAAGGCAATAGACATAGCCCGTGTGACTCTTGCGATCAGCTGAATCTCCAGCATAATCAGCATCACTAAAGCCCACCAACTCAACCTGAGGCTTGCTGTGTGCGGGGTAGAAGATACCTGACTCGACACAACCTTTCAGGTACCTTAGCACTCTCTTAGCAGCCTGCAAGTGAAATGCCTTGGGACAAGACACCACCTTGGACAGCTGTGACACTGCATAAGCAATCTGGGGCTGTGTGGTCGTGCTTGCATACATGAGAGACCCCACAATGCTTTGATAGAGCTGGACCAGCTCATCTCTCAGCAAGGGCTCCTCAGCATGGGCATGCACGTCGAACCCTGTAGGGAGAGGGGTACGCACGGGGTTAGCCTCAGAAAGGCCAAAGGACTCAAGCATGTTGAGAATGTACCTCTCCTGATGAATCAAGATGCCACTCTCATCACGCTCAATCTGCACCCCCAAATAGTACTTAGCCTCCCCCAAGTCCTTCATGCGGAAACGAGAGGACAAGAGACCCTTCACCTCGTCCAGCAAGACCATGCTCGAAGACATGAGCAGAATGTCATCCACATAGAGGTAGAGGGACAGCCTGCCCTCACGCCTCACCAAGTGGTACAAGGCGGGGTCACACTCCGACCTCTCAAACCCAAAGTCCATCAGCGCCTCATCAAACTTGAGGTACCACTGCCTTGGAGCTTGCTTTAGCCCATAGATTGATTTCCTGAGTCGGCAAACTCTGCCGGACCCATCATCAAAACCAGGTGGCTGCCTCATGTAAAGCTCCTCCTTCAAGACCCCATGAAGATAGGCAGTGGTCACATCCATGTGATGGATGTGAGACCCCGAAGATGCTGCCATCCCAAGGGAACCTCTCAGTGTGGTAGGTTTACCCACTGGGGTATATACCTGGTCATAGTGAACGCCTCGTGTTTGAGTGTTCCCCATGGCCACCAACCTGGACTTAGGCCTCTCAATACTCCCATCAGCCATGTGCTTATACTTCCACACCCACTGACACCTCAAGACCTCCATTCCAGGTGGCACACAAGCTGGATCAACCAGCTCAAAAGACTCGTTCACCCTATGAGACTCAAGCTCCTCACGCATGGACTCGACCCACTCAGGACGGGACAAGGCCTCCTTGACCGACTTAGGCTCATGCACTTGACCCATGAGACAGAAATCAAGCCCAAGCTCACCCCCCTCAGCATCCACAAGCATGCACTCCTCCAAATCATGCACCTCATGATCATGCATGCAAGCATACTGTGCACTTGGTGTGAACCTTTCAGGTGGTCGGGAGATGCGTGTGGTGCGGCGCAGAGGTGATGCCCCCCCCTGCTCCAAACTTTGCAGCTTCTCCTTCCAAGTCACTCTCTTCATGGGGGACCGTGGTGACTTGGCCAGCTGCTGCTGCAGTAGTTGCTGCCACCTACCCACAGGAACAGGTGGTGTATGCTCCTGTGGTGGCTGCTGCGGCTTCTCTTGTTGCTGCTGCTGCCCCTGTGGCTGCTCCGGGTCATGGGCTGGTGCGTTAGGGTCAGGGGTAGAACCAGCAGTTGGTGACTCCTTATGGTGAGGTGCAGCTGCCTTTTGTTCCTCTTGCTGCTCCTCTACCTCCTCTCCAGGGTCCTCCCATGCCCCCTCAAAGATGGAAGAGGTGTAGGGATCCTGAAGGGAGCTCCCAACTGTACTAGCACCATGCTCCTTCCACCCCTTATAGCTCAGCCCCTCGTGGAAAACCACATCCCTGCTTTCCACCACCCGCTGATCCGCCACACTCCACAACATCCAAGCTTTGCTCCTCTCCGACACCCCAAGAAAAATGCCCCATTGTGCCTTAGGATCCAGCTTCCTCCGTTGCTGGTCGGGCACTTTGTACTGCGCCATGAACCCCCACACTCGTGCCATGGACACACTAGGCACCTTCCTGGTCCACATGAAGTAAGGGCTCTTGCCCCCTAGCCCCTTGCTGCCCATTCTGTTCTTAACCCAGTTGGCATATTGTACTGCTGCCCCCCACCAAGTATGGTCCAGCTGCGCATGAGCAAGCATGGCTCGGGCAAGGTCAATGAGGGTCCGGTTTAGCCGCTCCGCTGCCCCATTTTGCTGCGGCGTGTAGGCAACTGAAAGCTGGTGGGTGATGCCCTTGTCTTCAAGGAAAGACTCCAGATCCTTCCCCATGTACTCCCCACCCCGATCAGACCTTAGTATCTTCACCTTCGCCCCGGCTTCCCTCTCCGCATAGCGTATCCAACGTTTGAAGACCTTGGCCACCTCATCCTTGGTTTTCACCAAGGTAACCCAACTTAGGCGGCTGAAGTCATCCAAGAAGGTGATGAAGTATTTGCTGCCCTTCTCCCTATCCGGTGTTTGCATGGGGCCACACACATCCATGTGCACCAACTCAAGAGGTGCGGAGGCTCTAGTGGTGGAGGTAGGGAAAGAGGTCCTTGGTAGCTTCCCGGTCGTGCAATCAGGGCACTTGCTTGGCTGCCCACCACCCTCCTTGATCTCCACACCCTTCAGCTCCCCCTTCTTCACACACTCCACAAGTTGCTGCCTTCCTGCATGCCCCATGCGTAGGTGCAGCAAATCTGCCGTCACCTGCTCCACGTCCCTCCAACGGCTGCTACAAGCGGCTTCCTCGGCTTCAAATCCATGTGCCCTCTCCACCTGAGGCACACAAACTGGAACAAGGTATAGGCCCTTCTCTAATTTGGCCTCCATCACCACAGCTCCACCCTTGCGAACCGTGCCACCTTCCATGGTGAAGGTGCATATATATTCTTGCCTCGCAAGTTGAGAGCATGAGAGAAGGTTGGCTGCCAAATCAGGAACATGAAGCACACCCTTCACATTCAGCACCTCCCCCTCCTTCCCCATAACGGTGATGGTGCCGATGCCGATTGCTTGCAGCGTATCTCCGCTCCCCACAATCACATTTCTGGAGTTGGGTGGGAGGGAGTGATAGGTGGTGAAGAGGTGGCGCCGAGGTACCATTCCACAGGTTGCTCCAGAGTCTAG